ACAGAACTTCCCTGAATGAGAAGCAGCTGAATGTCCCCACATGTAGGATAGTTTATAAAACACTGCCCCCACAGTGTAGGTAAAACAGGACTGCAGGCACACACACACACCGCGTTCTGACGCTTTGAATTATTTATGAACGTCCCAAAAATGAGAAGTTTCAGGAGGAGGAGGGGCCAATCAGCTGACCTCTGAGGATACATGCATTCTCTGATTCATTCATCTAATTGATCCATTGATCCATTTGATTCATTGATCCAAATATCACACTGGATGTTTCTAAACAACAGATTCTTACAAGGAGGAAGAGGAGGAGAAGGAGGAAGAGGAGGAGAAGGAGGAAGAGGAGAAGAAGGAGGAAGAGGAGAAGGAGGAGGAGGAGAAGGAGGAGGAGAAGAAGGAGGAAGAGGAGGAGGAGGAGGGCTACAGCCAGCCAGCAGGGGTCCAGACTAAAGACAAAGATCTTTCCGATTAGAAGGACTGAACAGAATCTGGATCCAAACTGTCTCCCTGTGGGTGAAGTTCTCAGTGATGATCAGAGCTGTTCTTCCAGCAGGAGGTGGCACCTCCTCTGAAGACAACAGAGGAGCAGAGAAACTCCTTCAGCTCCTGCCTGGGAGTCCCAACCAGCCGCCCCTCACTGGAGGCTGGATATTTTTAGAAGGTTCAATTAAAATGATTGGAGACTTATTGTGAAATATTTAAATCTGTTGGTAAATTTTAGACGAAGATTGTTGCCTTTATGAACAGCGATTAAATATTAATACAGAGAAACAGAGAAAAGTCTAAATAATAAATCAGCGGGTTTAATGAAAACATAGATGATTTTTTTAATCTCATATGATCAAAGTTATCAGCTAAAGCTGAATTTAAGTTAAACTACAAGAGCCACAGAGTTTCTGACCTTAAAACAAAAATAATTTAAACTTTGTTCATTTCTAAATACTTTATAAATCCCAACAACAACTGGAACATTTGAAGATACGGAGCAGCTGAAAGCTGCTGCATTCAGGAACCTACAGATTAGTAATCTGCAGAAACAGACTCTGCAGCGTCACCTATAATCTGATCGCTTCCAACGTCTGTAGAACAACTTTACTGGGATACAAGACTTCCTGTTTTACTGGTAACCAGTACTGTTGATTGACAGGTAACCAGTACTGTTGATTGACAGGTAACCCGGACCAGCTGAGCCTCTCTGCTTCGGCGGGACTTTAAGCTGAAATGTTTGGATCTCTGCGGCTCATTGCTAGCCCGCTGCAGACCGACAGCATGGCTTCCAGCTAGAGTCACGTCTGCCGCCGTATCGACCCTCCATGAACGTCATTTACTGTTAAATTCTAGTTTTTTCTTCAGTCTTACCCAGTCGACGATCAGCCTGCTGATCAGGGGAAACTAATTCAGAGCATTTTCTATATCAAGTGTTAAAAACTAAACTGCCATTAATTGATGAAGGATATTTTTACTCACCTCTATCAGACGCCCTCAGTGGGACGTCGGACCCGACTGGAACCAGAAAGGACTTGGAATCGGACCAAGATGAAAGCAAACTGCATCTGACCTAGAATGCGCTCTGGGCCAGAACCTTAATGAACTCATCGGGTCAAAGAGGAGGAAGAGCAGAACCCTGATCGGTCCTCCTGCGGTCTCAGAGGTGGGGAGCATCCATGTTCAAACAGACACGTATGACAGATACGAGTCAGTGGGTCCAAACAGGCGGTAGTAACTGGGATAAACCCAACAGAACCATTAAACCCGCCCCTGACACTGACAGCTGCTCCTCTGGACCAACCAGAGAGAAGAACCTAAGAACTGTCTGAGGACGGGGGGGGGCTGACCCGACCACACAGCGGGCCTCCTCACACCACCCCCCACCCCTTCAGTCACAGGCTGAATGGCAGATGGGCGTTCCCGTGGGAGGGGAGGGGTTACCACGGCAACAAAGACTTTGTAGTGAAAGGCCTGAAATCAGGAAGGAGGGACAGATTGCGTCTCCGTCTCCTCTGGACGTCCTAAAGGTTCTGAAATCTTTTCTCTCTTTGGGTCAAACTGTTTCTAATTCTGCGACACGGCTGAGTAGGTCTGTGCGATAAACCCGACTTTTACCGTTACCGTCATTCACCACGATAACCGCCGACAATTCTCCCAGCTGGAAAAAGGCTCCCAGCGTTCTGGCGCTCCTCGCTCTGCTAGCTGCTCCATCTTCACCAGGCGTTTTCAACATGGCGGTCAGACAGACAAAACCAGCCGGTAAGGAACCAAACAGGAAATATGGATAGGGTAGAGCCGATAGGGAACTGACCAATCAGAGGCCTCCTGTCTGCGATCACCTACAGTCAGGGAGAGGTGCAGCAGAGTGTCTGCGAAAGGGGCGGGGCTTATCTGCGTTAACTGCGACACACGCAGACGGCCTGGTTTCTGAGCATAAACCAGCCTTAACCATCATGGTGGGCTACACTCCTATCAGAGGGTCTCAGGAAGCTATGAGAATCCAGCAGAGACCAAAGCGCCCCCTGCTGGAAAATCACTGCAACGTTCTGGATGCCACCATTCAGCTCCTATTCACACACTTACAGTTAAAGAGCCGCAACACGGCCGCTCACTGAACAATGGCCACTCCTGTCCTCCATACAAGACTCACCACAGGAGGGGGGGGATGTAGAGGAGGAGGAGGAGGAGG